CTCTACCATTAGCTGAAAAGCGCTTTGCTTCCTCTTCGAATTCACCACAGATGCAACACTTGACAAAAACCCTAGCTCTCTGGCGATTCTGCGTTGAAACTCTACTTCGTTCATAATATTGAGATAGTACACCATCTCCAAATTTTCCTAGAAGTGCTTTTAGGTTTAATGGGTAGCCTCTGTAATACTCAGTAGTGGTTTCAGTAGTCATTTGCGTTGACGATGTGTTTGCTGTGCTTATTGGCAAACCAACGTCACTTGTTGTAAACAAAGTAATGCTGTTTATATTTGCAGAGCTTGTTGACGATAAGGTCGAAGGTGTAGTATTGCTTGGAATATTATTCGAAGGAGCCCGTGTATGAACAAATTGAACATTACCTTCCCTATCTGAATTTCGAATATCAAAATCCACTTCATTCAGTTCATTGTCTTTACGAGGTTCTCCTTCGTCAGTGCCTCCAGTAGCTGCAGTGCCTTGTACTTCGCTTTCCACTTCAATTGGCGCCATATTTAATAATTGTTCTGACTCCTTCTCAACGTTTGTATCGCACGATGTCGATGACGATGTTCTTGCATTTTCGTTCTTTGTGAAGAAATCCGATACCTTTTTGCATTTACTCGCTTCTTGTTTTAACAGTTTTTCAATATTCGCTTTTCTTTTATTTGCATACGGCATTTTTAACACTAATAGTACAAACAAAGGCAAGCAATTTGCATGTAAATTTTGATGTAAATTATGTTTTTGAAATTCCCAACTAAGCTTCCCGAATATCCCGAGATTTCCCCCAAAATCCCAATGTTCCCACTTTCGTTCCCAGTCCCACTTTGAAAAATATTTTTTTTGCAGATCGAAATTTCCTATTTGACTATTTTTCTATTTTTCATTGTCCAGAAAGGGAAGGCAAAGGAATAGCAGAGATTCTGCGAAAGGAATACTGGAATAAGGATTAATTATGTTGTCCAATATTGACTTTGGGAGTTATTTTCACACCAAAAAATATGAAAAGGGACTTTCTACTGGGGGGGACAAAATTGCCGACTGGGGGGGCAGTAAGGGGGGCTGGGGGGGGGCCATGTCCCCCCCAGTCTTTATGTTAAAAGAGGCCCTGACTTAATACGAGAAAACTGAGTACATGATTATCGGTTCGTATAAGAGAATTTCAAATCCTCAAAAAGAAGATGAAATAGTTAAAATTAGGATTGTGGATAATGAAACAAAACGAGTCAAAACTAGTAAAAGTCTGGGAATTGTAATTGATGAAAATTAAGCATGGAAAGAAAATATTGACAATCTCAGCGTTAAGGTGTGAAGGGCAATAGGAGTTATTCGCCGAGCTAAAAAATACGTTCAACAAGATGCCTTAAAACTAATGTATAATTCTTTAGTACTCCCATATTTTGATTATTGCTCGCTTGTTTGGAATAATTGTAGGCAAACACTAAAAATTAAAGTTCAGCGGCTTCAAAATAGAGCGTCAAGAGTCATAACGGGAGATACATACGACATTAGATCAAAAGATGTTCTCTCTAAATTAGGCTGGAATAATCTCGAAGAAAGGCGTAATTCTCAAACTATTTCTTATGTTAATAACGCTCTCCAGAAAAATTGCCCGGAGGGAATAACTGAAATGTTTCAGTTTTCCTGCAATGATAATCATAATTCAGTAAAGGATTAGTATCACACCGGGAATTCGCGGGCTCAACCTCCTACTGGCGGCCATTTTTCGGGACGAATAGATTAGATGAGCTCGAAAGTTTTTACAAATTACAATCCGTCATATATTTAAACCATCCTTTTATAATACTTGCTCTTTTTGTGTGATTTTTATCAGAAATGTACCAAACAAGGTAAAAAATTTTTATCGCTATTTGTTGTATTCAAGTAAAATGTAAACGATAACAAAAGGCCGCAATGCATGATCCTGACACTAATCCTTTAAGAAGTAACAACTTAATGCTGAGGTTGGCTAAACAAAAACTAATGCAATGAAAAAGTCTTTCAGTTATGCCGCCGCCAACATCTTGGATTTGGATTTATTAAAATAATTACATCGCAACTTTACAGCTGAATTGCGTAATTTACAATTTGCTAATTGGACAAGAAAATTTGATATATTACATGAATAATTTACTATTTTTTTTAAAATTAATTAATTAATGGTTTATTATAAAATCGTCGCGCTCGATGAAAGCGAATTGCGAAATTATTTACAAACTTTAGTTAAAAATATTAAAAAGTACCTTGTGTTACTGGCATTATATTACAACAATAGTTTACTGATCTATGAATTAATATCGAAAGAACTTTTAAATTTACAAAATTTACAAAATTTACAAAATTTATAAATTATGTGATTGAATACACATAGTAGGAAAAAAGCTTTTCTTAATTAAAGCGCTCCGTCTTACAAGGAAACAGTGTTAATCTACTTCCGTACCTTAAATTACAATTGTGTTCATTGGCCCGAGAAGGTGGTATTAAATGATTAAGGAGTAAAAAGTTTAAAAGGTTAATTTACTCTAATAATTGTATGACTATTATAATAGTAATTACGATAAAAAGTTTAAAAGGCTAATTTACACTAATAATTGTATACGAACATCCAATAAATAAACATCAAGTTTCATGCGCTACACATAGAGAAGATAAAGGAATTCATTGTTCTATTAGTCATGACTTGTGGGGGGTTGAAGTTCCTTTGGTTTCTCAGGTTATAATTCGTGTTATATCTTGCTGGTAATAAGCTATTTAATTTGTGATCAGGATTAAAAATAATAGACTTAAAACGTTTGTCACATAAATATTCATGATGATCCTTCATGGGCTTAATATCTAATCGTTCCAAACCTGTTAGATAGTCAACTTCCGGCATAATACTTGATATAGCTCTTTTCTCGAGACGCACTAACTCACGCTTCAGATATTGGGGGAGACAATGGTAAAAGGCAGGAATCGCGTAATCCACAACTGACCTGACACACGACGTATAGAACAGCGCTAAATCTTGTGGTGGAACTCTCGCCCGTTTTAATTGCACTAAAAAGTACACTCTTTTATTCACTTTCTTTATAACCTCGTCCACATAAGAATTCCAAGTAAGGTTGTCCTTGACAGTGAGTCCTAGCAGCTTTACTGTTTTAACAACTTCCAATTCTTTCCCATTAATGGTTAATGGATCAAAGATTGCTGGTTGATTCGCGAACGATATTCTCAATTCCTTACACTTGTCTTGATTTAATTCTATTATTACTAGACCACGTAACCACTTGATCAACTATATTTTGGGCATCACTAGTACCCATCGTCTACGTATTTCCAGGTATGTGCATCATCAATGATTAAATTATTTATCATAAGAGCAAACAGCCAGGGGCCTAGCTTAGTTCCCTGTGGTACTCCTGCAGGGACTGATCCCCACTCCGAAAAACAATCATCAGCTAATTTAACTCTCCGAAATCTATCGGTGAGAAAATCAATTATCCAGTTTATAACACTTGGAGGTAATTCCAATCTGCTTAGTTTATCAATCAGTATACCGTGGTCGATTAAGTCGAATGCTTTACGATAGTCAAACAGAATTGTCCTAATCGTTGAGCCATTTCCATCTGTTCCTAAAAACCAGTGATGTAACATATTAATTAGCGCGATAGTAGTAGTATTTGGGTCGATAACTTTTAAAATGGCAGGCTTCACGTAATCCTCAACCACAAACCCCTCCGCAACCTTGGATACGCTAGGGGTTAACGAGATTGGTCTTAAATCTTTCTTTAGGTCCTTAACCGGCTTCTTCTTGGGCAGTGGTGATACATCTGTCATCTTCCAGCATGCAGGCAATTGCTGTTCACGATATGAAGTATTAATAATATTCATAATTGGGAGAGCAACAATTCTGGAATAATCTCTTAAGAGCCAATTTGGAATGTTATCAGGACCAGACGCTTTTCCAGGGTTGAGTTTTGCTAG